TTTAAGGACCTAGTCAAGCGTATGTAAGGACCTGAACAAAATAATTTAAAAAATCTACGCCTATGTAAGGACCTCAAAAAAACATTTTAACAAGTAAGGACAGTCCAATAGTCGGACTCGGGCCGACTATATGATACCCTTCACCACTGGACTGGACCTAAATTCGGTACACTGTGCAAAATTTTGTTTCAGTCGGGAAAATATTTTCAGTTTGGTGCACCATTTACCTAAAATCGGATGAAACTATATAAGGGAGCTATGTCTAAATCTGAACCGATTCCAAAAAAACTGCGCATACAGACTTTGGTGCATTATTTTCCTAAGTTCGGACGAAAATATATATGAGGGAGCTATATCGCTAAATCTGAACCGATTTTCCCGAAAATCACCACACATCATTGTAGACTCAATTCAGTACGCTATGCCAAATTTGTGCAAATCGAAGGATATAAAAGGACTTTGGTGCACTATTTACCTCAAATCGGACGAAAATATATATATGGGAGCTATATCTAATTCTGAACCGATTTTCCCGAAACTCTCCACTCATCATTCTAGACTCAATTTATTACGCTATGCCAAATTTCGTGCAAATCGATAGATATATAGGGACTTTGGTGCACTATTTACCTAAAATCGGACTGAAACATATATATGGGAGCTTTATCTAAATCTGAACCGATTTCATGATAAACATTTGTTAACATAGTATTTTATTTTCACAGAAAACTGCATAAGTCAGAAAAACTAAGCTATCTACACATTAATATAGACCATAAATTAAATTTGAGCACCAATTAGTACCAAATATCTTGATTCGAGCTCTACAGGTTCACCCAAATTCAAATTGTACCAAATTTAGCACACATTATTTCCAAGAGTACTCACCTCAACAATCCAGCCATACTTCCTGCATACCCCGATCCTACACCCTCACAATGATTCCAAATTCAAATTTCAGGATTCCAAGTCTATGGTTCACCCACAATGTAAATTGTACCTAATTGAGTACACGATAGTACCAATCTCCCATACTTCCTACTGAACCCAAACCCACATCCCACAGTTATCCTAAATCCAATTTCAGAATTCCAAATCTATCGGTTCATCCACAATTCAATTTGTGCCAAATTTAGTACACAGTAGTACGATTGTCCAAAACTTCCTATTTAACCAAAACCTACACCCCCACAGTGATCTTAAATCCATGTTTCAGGATTACAATTCTATCGGTTCACCCACAATTCAATTTGTACCAAATATAGTACACAGTAGTACCAGTGATCCTAATCCAAGTTACAAAGTCTCCTAATTACCCCAAACCTAAACCCCCACAGTAATCCTAATTCCAAGTTTCAGGATTCCAACTCTATCGGTTTACCTACAATTCAAATTGTACCATATTTAGTACATAGTAGTACCAATTTCCAAAACTTCCTACATACCCCAATCCTACACCCCCAAAAATTATCCTAAATCCATGTATCAGGATTCCAACTCTATCGGTTCACCCACAATTCAAATTGTACCAAATTTAGTACATAGTAGTACCAATTTCCAAAACTGCCTACATACCCCAATTCTACACCCCAGCAGTGATCACAAATTCAAGTTTCAGGATTTCCAACTCTATTTGTCCACCCACAAACTAAATTGTACCAAATTTAGTCCACAGTAGTATCAATTTCCAAAACTTCCTACATACCCCAATTCTACATCCCAACAGTGATCCTAAATCCAAGTTTCAGGATTCCATCTCTATCGGAATTCAAATTATACTAAATTTAGTGCACAGTAGTACTTATTTCCAAAACATCCTTTCTACCCCAATCCTATACTTCCACAGTGATCCTAAATCCAAGTTTCATGATTCTAATTCCATCGGTTCATCCACAATTCAAATTGTACCAAATTTACATACCCCAATCCTACACCATCACAGTGATACTAAATCCAAGTTTCAGGATTCCATCTCTATCGGTTCACCTACAATTCAAATTGTACTAAATTTAGTACACAGTAGTACCAAGTTGCAAAATGTTCTACATACACCAATCCTACACTCCCACAGTGATCCTAAATCCAAGTTTCAGGATTCCCAGTCTATCGGTTTACCTACATCTTAAATTGTACTAAATTTAGTACACATTAGAAAAAAATTTTTAAACTTCCTACATATCTCGTTCTTACACTTCAACAGTGATCATGACTCCAAATTCCATGATTCTAGCTCTATTGGTTCGCCTAAAATTCAAATTGTACCAAATTTAGTACCATTTAGTACCAATGAATATAAATTGCTTAAATTGAATCCTGACCCCAATCCTTGACCCCTACAGTGATCCCGATTTAAACTTTCATTGTTTCCGCTCTATCGGTTCATCCAAATCCAAATTGTACCAATTATGGTACTATTTAGTACTTTTCGTACACATCAGTAAAAATTTTCCAAAATTACGTACATATCCTATTCCCGCATTCCGACGGTAATGTTAATTTCAAATTGTAGGATTCCAGCTCGATTTATACCTTCAAAATAAATTTGCACCAAATATAGTACCATATAGTACTTTTCGTACACATTAACACACGCTTTCAAAACTATCTCCTTAAATGGAATCTACTTCTCAACCTTAATTTGCATTCCAAATTTCAAGTTTTTAGCGCTATCCGTTCACATGCTACGAAATTGTACCAAATTTAGTACATTTATGTACTTTTCGGATAGTTATAGTTCGAATTTCCAAAAACCCCTTGGTACATCTATCCTACACACCATCAACGACCACCAACCCAAATTTCAGAGTTCTAGCTTCTCCGGTTCGCCAAATACAAATGGTACCACATTTAGTACTTTTTTGTACTTTTCGTACGGTTCTTGTACGAATTTCCAAAAACCCAGCTTTTCGGTCACATTTGGACCAAGAGTGACCCTCACCCAAAATTTCAGGGTTCTAACTTTAGTCGTTTGGGCGTTAATGAATCGTTAAATCAGTCAGTCAAAAACTTTACTGTACCACAGTGTGGTGAATGTAAGGACCTCAAAAAAGAATTTTAAAAATCCACGCCGATCTGTAAGTCACCAAGAAAATATTAAAAAAGTTAGTATTACCTCATGATTTGTTGGTATCCTTTGCGAGTGTGTCAAAACAATTATCAGCAAAAGGGCACATATTCCCAGTATGAAGCATGAAAACAGGGTATAGGAATCCAAATCCAAGGTGACAAATAGTAGGGGAAATATCAGACAACTACAGCCGAAGATGGCTTTACACCAACCATTTAATGGACGTTCGTTATGTACCACTGGGATAACCAACGCCAATAGGACATAAAAAGGACTCTGGAAATGAGAATGGCTTAATTTGAGAGTAGTGCCAGGATGGCGATACCCACCATTACGATTTTAATGGGAAGGGAATGGGAACACAAGACCCTAATGGGATTTATGCAATTCCAAAATTGCTGCCACGGCTTGACATTTAGATCCACTGGATTGTATAGCAAGTCGGGATAGCAATCACTCTCCAAGGACTCTGAACTACTTGAGAGGAGATTCATTTCTTTCAGCACTTCTGGCTTCTTACAATGAGCCTTCAAAGAGAACATTCTACAAATAAGGTAGAGGATGTACCCGATCATACTTATGTGGGCATGTATGCCGATCATTGATTCCGATTTCAGATAGTCCTCTTGATTTTCATTTAACATTTCATTTTGGACCGCGGCATATAAATATAACCAGGCCACAGTAAGGAAGAACATGTCACGTAAAAATATCCTGGCAATAATTCGAAATCCACCACGATAGGAGAGGAGACATAACCCAATGACCCAACAGGTAAATATTTTACCAAATGTCATGGCATGTAGCAGCGAATCGGAACTATTATATTCAAAACAACTATAGATCATGGAAAGGCCATATGGTAGGGTGAAGAGAATGCCCAAGACAATGCAACCAAAATCGTAATTGGGAATATGCAAATAATTGGCCAAGGCAATGGAGTTGGGCAGGAGGCTGGATGGAGGGAGGGGGAAAGGATAATCTGTGAAATTGAAGGATATCCTCAGGTCTACTCACAAATATCTAGCATTGACATAGAGACTCAACGAGTATAGCAGCAAAATCGTCACAGCCAATGCCAAGGACAGCCATGGTGTATGCCATTGCAGGATACATTCGAATATATATAGATAATTTATAAGGCTCACCACACCATTACAACTGCTGGTGGTCTTGACAAATTCACAGGCATCCTTAATGTCTTCACTATAATCCTGGCGACGATAGCAGTTTTCTTCCTGGTAAAGGGGACAAATAACTTTTTTTTTAATAGCAGGAAGTTCCTGGTCTTACCTCTTCAATATTTCCCACAAAATCATAATGCCTTTTGTGACGGGTCCAATTTTCTAAGAGGATTTCAATTGAATTATTATTGGGAAATGTCAAATTCCAAGGCATTATAATTGGAATGAAAAAATATTTGAATATTTTGTTAAATTAATTTAATATACATAGGGGTGGATTTTGAAAAAAAATTGGTGCCTTACAAAGGCGTGGTTTTTTATACCCTGTGACACAACTATGTTATCAGGGTATTATAGCTTTGTGCAGCCCCAACAGTTTGTAACGCCGCGAACTATTGGTCCTAGACCCATCTTTAAGTATACCGATCGTCATATCTCGACTAGCTGAGTCGATTTAGACATGTGTGTTCGTCCGTCCGTCTGTCCATTACGGACCAATCTTCACGAAATTTTGCATGTAGGATGGGTTCTGGCTAATTTTTTTATACCCTCCACCATAGTATGGAGGGTATATTAATTTTGTCATTCCGTTTGTAACTCATCGAAATATTCATTTCCGACCCTATAAGGTATATATATTCTTGATCATGGTAAAATTCTAAGACGATCTAGCCATGTCCGTCCGTCTGCTGTAATCACGCTATCTTCTGAAGGAATTGAGATAGGGAGCTGAAACTTTGCATAGGGTTGTCTTTTGCCTGCAGGCCTGTCAAGTTCGAAGATGGGATATATCGGTCCACGTTTAGGCATAGCTCCCATATAAGGGTACCCCCCAAATTTCGGTATTTTGGGGTTCTTGAGCGCGTTTTTCAACCGAATTCGCTGCAATTTGGTATTTTGTAGTCGTATATGGTAACAAATCTCCCTAACAAAAACTATTTATATTCGCCCCCTTTTTGGGGTAGTCCCCATATAACCCCCCTTTTTTATATAAAATAGTTAGCTAATTTGTTCCGCGTTTTGGGTTTGGTTCTAAGAGTCTGTCGTAATAATTTAACCTGCGGAGAATATCGAGATAAAGTTAGAACGTAAGATTCGATAATGAACTATACATGAACTAAAACCCGCATTTAGGCCTAGTACCTGAGAGGGAGTTATCAGAGGGAGTGGACCGATACTCCACATCTTCTAACCTGAACTAAGTTAGGAAGAATAATAAGATAGGCAAAGGTTGGATGAAATCAACATTTTCTGGAACATGGTTCACATTATGGTTTACATAATCGCGTATAGGTCCACTTTTTGGTATCTTCCCTACATTTTCATTTTAACTACTTATATATCTATGGTGAAGGGTATCCAAAATTCGGCCCGGCCGAACTTAACGCTTTTTCACTTATTTTATTTATTTTTGGTAAAGATCGGTTAATATTCTGGGGGATGAAATGGACTAAATACTAAATTTTTGTCGGTTTTTCTGGTAACTCCAGAGGCAGCAATTATAGCCCGACATCGTGAAATTTTACATGGAGAAGGTCAAAGATCAAGATCGGTCAATATTTAGCGGGTCAAATGGACCCTGACTATTGTGTGAAAAATTATAAAATTTGGATTCTATGGCGTATATATTTAGGGTCCTTATATAGGCGTGGATTTTTATACCCTTCCCACACTGTGGTACAGGGTATTACGTCTTTGTGCATATGTTTGTAACAGGCATAAGGAAACGTGATAGATATATGGTTCCTTTTTAGAATATGCATAGAATCACTTTTTAAGTCGATTTATGCATGTCCGTCCGTCTGTCTGTCCATATTAAATTGTAAACAAAGTACAGGTAGCATTTACAATCCGAATTGGATGAAGTTTGACACAACTCACTCATTTGGCCCAAGGACGAACCCTATTGAAATTGGGAAATATCAGATTCATATTTAGATATAGCTCCCATATATATTTTCGTCCGACTTAATGTAAATGGTGTACCACTGTCCCTATATATCATTCGATTGGCACGAAATTTGGCATAGCGTACTGAATTAAGTCTAGAACGATGTATGTTAAATTTCCTGAAAATCGGTTCCGATTTATATATAGCTCCATTATATAGTTTCGTCCGATTTGAGGTAAATGGTGCACCAAAGTCTCTGTATATTTTTCGATTTGCACGAAATTTGGCATAGCGTGCTGAATTAAGTCTAGAACAATATGTGTTAAATTTCTTGAAAGTCGGTTCAGATTTAGATATAGCTCCCATATATATTTTCGTCCGATTTTAGGTAAATGGTGCACCAAAGTCCCTATATATCTTTCGATTTGCACGAAATTTGGCACACTGTTCTGAATTAAGTCTAGAACGATGTGTGTTAAATTTCTTGAAAATTGGACCAGATTTAGATATAGCTCCCATATATATTTTCGACTGATTTTATGTAAATGGTGCACCAAAGACCCTACATAGCCTTCGATTTGAACGAAATTTGGCATAGCGTATTGAATTATGTCTGGAAAGATGTGTGTTAAATTTCGTAAAAATCGGTTCAGATTTAAATATATTTTCCTCCGATTTTAGGTAAATGGTGCCCCAAAAACTTTATATATGCTCCGATTTGCACAAAATCTAGCATAGCGAACTGAATTAAGTCTAGAAACATGTGTGTTGAATTTCGTGAAAATCGGTTCAAATTTTCATATAGCCCCCATATATATTTTCGTCCGATTTAAGGTAAATGGTGCACCAAAGTTCTTATACATCTTTCGATTTGCCCGGATTTTGGTATAGGGTACTGAATTAAGTCTAGAATGATGTTACTTAGCTTCGTGAAAAGATCCGTAGCTAGGCAGATTGACTCAACGTACTGAAGTAATATAAATTAGTCTCTGGCAAGTTTCCCTGAAATCGGTTCAGATATAGATATATAACAAAACACGCGACGCGTTCTGTTAAGATACATATGTAGAATACACCCAAAAAGGTGAAGGGTATCATATAGTCGGCCCCGTCCGACTTTAGTATTTTCATTACTGGTTTTAATTTCAATTTTTTGGGGTCCTTACATACCCTGGATATTTTAAATTTTTGTGGGTCCTTATGTAGAGGCGTGGTTTTTTTAATTAAATTAATTTTTGGGGCATATTTATAGGCGTGGATTTTTTAAATATTTTTTGAGGTATATTTATAGGCGTGGGTTTTTAAATATTTTTGAGGTATATTTATAGGCGTGGATTTTTTTAAATATTTTTTGAGGTATATTTATAGGCGTGGATTTTTAAAATATTTGTTGAGGTATATTTATAGGCGTGAATTTTTTAAATATTTTTTGAGGTATATTTA